TGAGCACTGCCGAGGCTCCCAGCCAAGGAATTCAGTTCCCCCTCTTGAAATCCTCTCCCTCTCTCATGGTAATGAGCACTTTAATCTATCAGGCAAATGTAGAGATTCTTGGCACTGCTTTTTATTTCTGATCTGTGTTTTCTCTCTCTCTCTCTCTCTCTCTCTCTCTCTCTCTTTTAGGTTAATTTATCTGATTACATGCAATGCACCGCAGCCGTGTTAAGGTACCAGTCGAGTTTCCACTTGGAGGCTTGGAGGAAAGATTACCATTAAAACGTGACTTCCATCCACTCAGCTGAAATTACTATTGATTGCCAAAGAAAAATATTTGTGCTGTGAAGCTGGGAGCTATGATGTTGAACCGTATTAACATAATGTTAGCATAGCTACGGGTGTTTAGTGGCACGCAATCAGATTTGAAATGAACGTTGATTATAGATTGAGATTAATGTTCACATATTCATAGGAACACAATGAAAAGAGCAATTTCCTTTCTACTACAGATCAATGGTTTCCCCATTCAATTATACAGCTGTAATAATTGCATTATGCGGAAATATTTCTTAATGGCTTATTTCATTCTCTCTGCTTGCCTGTGTGTGTGAGAGAGCTGTGTACTTGCACGCATGCATGCATGTGTGAAATGTTTTGTCAGTGGTACTTGCCAAAGCCTGTATCCAATGCAAAAGACTTTAATTACTAGTGCAAGTGTGTAATCTTTGGCTAAGCTAATAATCTCTTGGCATTTTCCCACTATTCTCTTCATTTCCCAACAGAACCCTAAGCCTCCTTTGCTTGCTGAAGTCTTTATCAGCTGGATCCCACTGCATAGAAGATACACTATTTGGGTATGGCCAAAATGATATGAGAGATACTGTGCTATGCTTGTGCTTCTTTGTCTCACAGTTTTTGTGCTGAGAGAAGCTGGACTTCCAGTTAGAAACTGGGACAACTGGAACTCCTGATTTTCTTAGTGCACTCATTTTACTTACACTAGTTGGTGTTACAAAGAAGCACAAGACCAATTATGCAGAATGACTTCTTATCAGTCAAGGGTTTGGGATCAAATTAAAAATGAGGCCTTGAATACCAAAGGCACATCTGCAGAAAGAGGAAGCAACCACTAGAGCTCCTGTTTTATCATGCAATCAAGGCAAGACAGGACACCCACTTTGGAAGGGAAATCTGGTAATGAATGGAGAGTAACTTCAAAAGCACTCGCGGGATCAGAGCACAAGAACCTCCCCTCTCAATTTCAGTGCAGTGCTGTTCTGGGACCACTATTTGTGTGTGTGTGTTTGTTTTCCTTGGAAATATGTTCTCACTTTTCCTCTTCTTTGCTCAGACATAAGCTCAGATGCATTTTCCTTCTGCAAAAAAGATCACCCTTAGTTTCCTAATTTGGTGGGTCAGCAGCCTGCAGAAGAACATTTTACCAGAGAACAGGCATAACTGATGGGCTTCATACAGTGGGTGAAAAAAGGTGTTTTTGCACAGAAAGTTATCAAGTTCTTCCCTATAGGAAAATAAAAGAGTGGCACCAGGATCTGAATGAAAAGCTTACCATCCATTACTTAGCTCTGCTTTAGGCGATGTCCTGTTACTGAGCCTCCTGACTACAAATGGCTTAAAACATCTCTGCAGTGATATTTTGTCAGACAGCAGCACAATCTGCATTCTCAGCATCACTGTGCAACATTTCCAAGCTTTGTCTCAGAGACATACTGACCATACTGCTGGCAATGATGAAAACTGATAATCTAACAAAATGCTTTTCAAAAGGCACAGCTGAGTAGTGTGCTTCAACTCTGAAGCTGAGGGGAAGAGTGTTCTGGTTGTACACCATTTCTGCTGACTGTTGGCAGGAGTTACGAGGAACTCATCGTGCTAGGGCTGCACCATGTATTCAAACTGGCTGAACTTCCCTAACACTGGTCACTTCTTTCTCATTGGGCAGGTGCATCCAGCAACACAACACAAAGCTGTTCCTCAGCATGGTGTGGCTCATTGTGTTATTCTTACTTACACCATTATCAATTGGAGGGTACAAAGAAATAATAATTTCTGTAGATTTTTTTTCAGAGCATCTAGAAAAAAAAAAAAAGATATCCACGTTTTAGTGTATTCCACCATTCCATATTGTAGGAGAAAATCTCAAGGCGAGAGCAGCACATCAGCAGGATTCAAATTAGGATGTCAAACCAGTTTCAGCCACTTTCCTGTACTTAGAAGAACCCCCTACCCCTTGATTTGTGGAAGGAGTTACTAGGCAGGGTTTACAAGAATGGCAGAGTCACTGTTCCCCTTGTGATGCTGAGTCATCAGATGGGAAAAAAATGAGCAAGAATGAGGCAACACGTCCACTCACTCAGCGTTAGAACTGCCTCTCTTTTCCCCTTTCCTCAAAAGTTTCACATCTCTGTTCACTCATCTCTGTTCATTAGAAATCACATGGATGGCCAGGCACAATCTCATCTCACGTGCACCAGCTGTGGAGCTTCACTAAAAGCGATGCATTTGTAGGGTCTTGACTGGAGGAAACTTAGATGGAAGCAGTGACTGCTTTTGTTAAACTTTAGTCTTTCCAGGTGGGAAATGGGATAAGAGAATTTTGAGGAATGGAAGATGTGGAAGAAATAAAGGAAGGTTGACAAATCCCAGTGAACAGCAAATAGTATTGAAAGCCTAAAGACGTTTAAGATTTTGAAAGCTTACCAATTTTGAATGCTTATATTTCTGAGACAATTGAGTGAAATTTGGTTTTAGAAAATGTATTTCTGTTTTCCAGGTTTTCAAGGTATTAAAATCTCCAAATTGTTCAGTATGTTTTGAAGGTCCTAGTTTTTTGTGTTTCAGACAATCTCAATATATTTTAGTGTGACCTAGACAAAATCTGCCTGAAAATAAACCAGCAAATAGATGCCAAATTTGGCCCTCAGACACACTACTGTATGTGCTGACAGATGTTCTTGTACCTGCGGTCCCTCTGGGTTCACAGAGGTTGTGAGGAGCTGGAATCTGACACAGAATGTCTCACAGATGCCCCAGGTTGTGGCCTGAATTCAGCCCCAGCATTTGAAGGGGTGCAACAAGTCCTTCCTGAACTACAACCTCAAAAGCCTCATTGCCAACAACTGCAATTTATTGTAGGCATTCAAGTCAGATATTCTTCAGTCTTTAGAAAGCAAATTATTCTGTCAATTATTAGATCTCCAAATCAGCTTGATCTGAGAGGGGTTTAGCATGATTTTGCAGTAATTGCTGGAGAGAATCACAGTACATTCAGCTAACAAAGTGAGTAACAATCTTCCTGCCCCAGACCTCCCTATGAAATTGAGGGAAACATGAATTTCATCCAGTTTTGAATTAACTTCCTCCAGACAGGACATCTGTCTTTGGCATGGAACTCCTTAGAAACCTGGGCAGGGATTCATATTGCCTGCCTCCAAATAACTACAATGTGGACAACTGTGTTGGATCCTGCCATCCATGATTCATTTATGGTTGAGTCAATGGAGAGAAGCAGAGATTTCAGAATCATGATTAATGACCAATTTTAGTCAAGCACATCAAAATGAGACGAATTGTGCTTCAGAACTGTTGACTGCTCTCCATAGTCTGTAGGAGAGCCTACACAGCCAGCTCACATGAAGAAATGTATGTAGTTACAACATCAGAATCTACAGTAAAAGCCTGAACAAAGCGAATCTCATTATTTTTTTCCTAGATAACTTGCAAAATACAAAATCTGGGCATTTATATGAGCACAGAACATGCTCTACAGATTTAAAAAAAGAAAACAGATATCTGACTTTAAAAAATATAAAAGACATTTAGCAGCTAATTATCATATCCTTCTCACTAAAACAAATAAGGAAGCAGAGTTTGCTAGAAGCTTACTCAAGCACAAGCTGGTCTGAAATCACATCCAATTAGGCAGGAAGCATCAAGTAATGCTTTGTTCACCAGGTTATTTTCTACAGATTTTTTGAGGTCTGTTACTTGCCCTAACACTTTACCTTGTAAATGTGGAAACATGTGGCATGACCTTCAACTCCTAATAGCCTTCAAGAAGCTGAAGTTGGATTATTTGGGGTCATGGGTAACAACTCAGAAGTCACAGGTCAAATTCAAAACCATATTACACCTCTAGAAAACTCTTCTCAATAACTTATGGCGTGACCTCTAGCTCCGATTAGTCTGTGAGGGGCTTGTGTCCTCTTTTCATACATTCATGAATTCAGAATCTCCAAATCAAATATTAAGAACAGTTCTTTTGCTCTGCTTGTTATGGTAGAAGGCTATATGTTTTAAAAACACTGCTTTTATATTAAATACTTTGTCAGTAAAGTTTATTTTAATCACATGCATGAGTTCCACCAATGCTGCTCAGCGAAGTACAATGAAAATATCATAAGAGATCAAATAGGTATATTTTCCCCTTTTGGGGACAGATACACTTTAAAAAGTGGCATTGATATCCAATAGTCATCTTATTTTATGGCTCACTTAATTGTGTGCATGGTTACTACAGATGCCTTTGTAGAGGATTGAAAATCCATATTTTAATATTGTTTATTCAAATGCCTTGTTCATTCTCAGAGTAATGCTGCGCAGGCATGCAAGTCTTCATGACTGATAGGAACAGCAGACACCCTGACCAGCAGCACAGTGAAAGTAAATATTTGGATACAAGTCAGGCAGGCATAAGGCACAAAAGGCCTGAAGATAGAATGGGGCTCAATTTGTGTTTCTTCATTTGCTTATGCTGAAGGGAGCTTCTCAGCAAACTAGAACTGTCTTTCCTGGCATAAACTCCTCAGATGAACAATGATGAAGATGCTTTCTTCTTATTGGATCAGTGCTTTGGGAAAAAAAAAAAAGTCTTACTTTTTCATTGTGTGCATCCCAAAGTAAAGATTGACCAACGACAACTGCGTTTATATCTATGAAACAAATACAAAAAAATGAACAAGTGATAAAATCAAGGTAAAAGGAACTTGAACAATGAGATTTAAAAAAAGAAAAAGATCTTTAAGTGGTCTATCACTGATACATAGGCAAATACACTCAAGCGTGTCTCTGAAATATTAATATGTTTTCAAAGCGGTAAGTAATACACGACGCAATAGGCTGCAAAAATGCAAAAAAGTAGTTCTCAGGGCTGCATTTGGAGAGGAGACTTGGCTTCAAAGGAAATTTGTCTTTTGCATTCCAGGCTGGAGCTGAATTTCCTGCTCACGTTTTAGATGAATTGCTAAAGAAAGCTGAAATGCTTCTGTCCCCTAGGAGTTAACAGAAGTCCATAAGTTTGAGTACATCAGACTGGATTCATCACCTAATCAGTTAGCCAGAATGTTGTGTGCAGGATTGTCAGAGGGGTTTTTCTGTCACTTCTCTTTACTGCTTTGTAACCTTTCATATTACAGTCTTTAGCTTTTTAAATGCTAGAAAGACATCTTGTTTGGGAGACAGCAACCTGATAGTAAGAAAATGCAAGTTGTAGTGTCCTCTGCTAGCGTGTTCCTTCTTTGCATAGAATCCTCTGGCCCTTGGCCTTGGTATTCAAAGACACAATGTCAGCTGTTTTTAGGTTATGCTGATGAAACAAATCCACAGCTTTCTTGTTTTCAGAATAGGAGAAAGGGCAGGTTCCTTTTCTGGGCATGTTGTTTTTCCACCAAGCTCAATTTTCTTCCCAGCAGAAGAGTGGCATTGGGAACATCGGTGCCTGACTGTTGTGCTGGCTGAGGACTGAACTCTATGCCTGCAGGTCAGCAGGATCTGAGCAATGGAACTGCCAATGTGTGTAGGGGTTGGTGCAGATAGACGTTTTGAAAGAAGACTTGGACAAGCCACTGCAGTCTTTTGCAGTAAATGCTCAGCCTACACAAAAGTGAAGACAGACGACGGCTTCTTATCGCAGTTTTCACATTCCAGCATTGAGGAACAGAACTCAGCTGGGAAAGAGAATGAAAAATTCAAATTCTGATTTTACATCAGACTGATGTAAAGTCACAGGTTAGCATTATGAAAAGGCAACGCCTGTGCCACGGTTACGCTAGGTAGCACCTTGTAACTGGAAGGGCTTATATGTCACGCTACATTGAAATACACAAACACTTTTCACCTCAGCTCAGTAAGTTCTTGGCATCAATCACAACTGCCTCCTTCTCCACCCGAAGTGGTTTACGCAAAACTGCCTATAATTCACTCTTTCTAAGGTTCACTAGCTCAATGAACCAAATCAAACCACCTCTGCAGCCTCCAGCAGACTTACTGCTGATCTCTTTCCTGCTCACCAGGAGGAGGAAAGTAGAGAGCATGTCTAGTGCACCCTATCTGCAAGAACTGGTCCCATTCCTCATTTTGTATTTGAAATTTCAGGTTGACCCTCTTCCCATTGCTTTACCCAACAGCTTTCCTTCCACCAGGCTCAGAGCAGTGCCAGATGCTGCTGTGTTCCTTTATTTGCATAGCAGTATTTCTGTTCTGCATGTGCATGCACAGAAGTTGTGCTCAGAAACCCCAGCATCATACTCCCTTACAGACTGTGTCTTCCAGCCCCTTGCTGAAGTGGCCAGGAATTCATCTACTGGAAATTCAAGTTATCAATTCTAACAGGCAGGAATCAGAAAGATCCAGAAGTTTCTCATCCGAAAGAGCTGAAAAGGAGAATGGAGGCAAGAGACTGGCCATAAAACATACCTGATATCTTCTAGCTGTGGACCAAGGATTTCTTAGAGCAACGCATCAAAGTAGAGTGTTGAGTTGGAATATGAGGAGGTACAAAGGAGCAAGAGGATATTCTTCTTTCCTTCCTTCCTGGCAGATAAGCCGAGCTCAAATGCACTAATCAAGAAGCTATTTCAGAGGATGGGCCCCTTGCACATGAAGTTTGGTCTGCTGAGCATCTTGGTGAATGCTTCGCAGTGTGGGATGTACCATGCTGAGATCAACCTTCAGTGCTATTCTGGTCCAGATGGAAGCCCCCATCTGTTATCATCCTCAAGAATCTCGTGAGCAGAGTCCCTGGATGTTAAGCTACAGCTGATCAGATGTTACTTGCACTTCTTCAGTAGGTGGAAAACTAGAAACTTAGCAAGTGTGTGTGGTAAGCATCTTCCTGAGAATTGTATCACTGTCCAGGGAGTGGGAAGCAAAAAAAAAAAAGCAAGGCAAAGGACAAACACATCAGTCTGTATTGCATCTAAAGATTTGACTTTGTTTGCAAGTGAAAATGAAGTCTATGTTATCTGCCTGCTCCCTTCATGATCATTTGCCGACAATGCAAAATCATCACTTAATTGAATATGGCTGGCAATTTCCATTAAAGAAAGAGTCCTGATTGGAACAGCAGAGTTTGATTCAGGTCAGGCTTGAGGTGTGAGGCTACCAAAATACTGACGAGATTTAGAAGTGGATCATAACGAGAGCTTCTTGCAGCAAATAATCTAATCAATTAATTTGCTCTGTTTCTTTTTTCCCCTTGGTTGCAAAATGTTCAGAGGCTGATTGCAATTTCTCCAAATTTATTTCTTATTCAGATTTACTCAATGGTCTCTTTTACCATTTCAAAAATAAATAATATTGACTGATTACAAACAGATCTCTGAGAGGATATGCTACTTTGTATTCAAAATAAGGTCTGATTTAGTTAATAGCTTGGTCACATGGCTCACAAGGCATCATTTCTCCTTACAAGTGGACAGATACAAATCTTGCAAGTCAGGAGGAAAGTGAAGAATTTTTTCTGATTATAGGTACTGAGGGAGTTGATTCTGATACACATGGTAAGAGAGTTTTAAACTTGGAGCATCTTAGAGGAGCAGTTGGCCCTCCTGAGATCTGCTGGCTGGGTGCAGTGGTTGTATTTGATTTTCTTTCCTTGCCTACCTCAGACAGTGTCCCAAAGCAGGTGGCCAAGAAGTTCCTTTTATTTTTGTAAGGTCTGACTAGTCCTGAATCTGTAACAAATGCTGAGTGGAAACTGAGCACAATAAGAGGGAACAGCAAGGGTACAGCGAGATCTTGGATTTACCTTTGTGCTGTCTGACCAGCTTGTTCTGAGCCACGGTGGAAAGGATTCTTCTTTGCTGGTACTAAAAGCCAAGAGCAAATTTTTTACTTCCTGGTGGAAAAAAAAAATAAAAAAGAAAAAATAGAAAAAAAGAATTGTAACCAAAGGAGAGACTAAGTGTCATAAAGCATCATCTCTACTCAGAGGAATTTCACACCTCACCCATTTCCCCTGAGCAGTGCATCCAGTGCAGGAAACATGGGCACAAGCCGAGGTCACAGGAGGGATGTATTCCCCTTCTGCAGCACATGGAGATGTTATGATGCTGGAAACCATTAGGAGCAGGTTAAATAACCATCTGACAGGAGACACTCACTGAGAGCAGCCAGCCTACAGTCCACACAATCTCAAGAGTTGCTTTCCAGCCTTTTTTTTTTTTTTTTTTTTTTTTTTTTTTTTTTTTTTTTTTATAAAAAAGAGGAATGAATCTTTATGTAACAAAAATTGTCACAAGTTCTCCTTGCCCAAAACCTAAAGGCAATTTATTCTTGGCTTCCATCTTCTGTGAGTCTCCTGAAGGGAGGATAATTAGCAAAGTGACTTCTGAAAGCAGCCACTTGAATTTTATCCTTCCACACAAGTGACACTCAATTGCCTCAAATATATGCATAGCACAAAGCAGAGAAAAAGTATGAGGACGGATCATGCAAATCAAACATATCCAAAAGAGTGCAGTACAGTGTGGGTTGTTTGTTGCTGGGGGTTTTTTTTGTTTGTTTGTTTTAAACTTTTTTTTTGCAGCATCACCGAGGTGTAAGGGGATGTGATTCTGTCTAATCTGAAGGACATGATGAGAATTAGGTGGAAATAGCAGGAAAAGCATAGAGGAACAAGGCTGAGGGACTCTGGCTGAGCCATGTGGGACAGGGCACATCACCTGCCTACACACAAGGAACTCTGGGGCTTTCTGATAAGTACAAGGCTATTTTTCTCCAACTTACATTAAATTATATACATAAATGTATAATACTTACAAATGTATCAACACAAAATGATAGAGTCATATGAAATAAAATCTCACAGACTCTGAATCCACAGCATTACTATGACAGAACTGAGATGACAGCTGCCGAGCTGTAGAGATGTGTGTATGCATGGAGTTCTAAACAGAGGTCTTTATGGTAAGAAACATGTGCTTGTCCTCCCCCTCCCCCCCCCCCCCCTTTTTTTTTTTTTTTGTAGTTTTACTCTATTGTCAAATTCTATTTCTTCCACTGCTTTCACCTTCCAAAGAAAGCAAACACGTCCCACTTCCAGCAAAACGCTTATTCAGTGCCTGTCTTCCTAGTGCTAATGTCTTTCTCAGATGGAAGATGTCGTGTCAGGCAGGAACCAAATGAAAAATAAACAATTAATGTGGAGGATTCATTGTTTTTTTACATGCCTTAACATTTTACTCTCCAAATTGGCAACACCATGGGAAACAAAACACTTGGTTGAACAGTAATGCATATCATGAATATGGGGGAAGGATTTTGAAGCTGTAACTCAGGTAAGTGAGAGCTGAGAGGTGATTTTTTTTTTTTCTTCTTTTCCCTCTCAGTGTTTGTCTTTGTTTCTTTTTTTCCCTTTCCTTTTTTTTTTCTCCAGGCAATGATTTCTCAGTACATATCATCAAGCACATATTAAGCAGAGTTTCTGGACTAAAGCTTTCCAGTCTGGACTCCTGGACTTAGTTACTGTTCCAAATGGTACTTTAAAATGTCTTAGCTGTATAAATACATGAGACCTCAATGTTTCCCTTGTCAACAAAATGAAAAACAAGTTAGATTTAAAATATTATTATTATTATTATTTTTAGTATTTTCAATTATATGCTGGCCAGTGAGGGGAAAAAAAAAAAAAATGTATCACATAAAAAGGACTTGATATTTTTAACTATATTTTTTAATTACCTCCTTAGTTAAATACCAACCTGGTATTAGTTGAAGGTACAAGAAAAGACTTCAGAAAATGACCACTTCCATTCATATCTAAGGGGTGGATGTACAGAAGAAAATGAAGTTCATCAAGGCAGAGGCTTGCACTAGGTCTCCCTTAGTGTGGAAGAGCTAACTTCATACAAAGCACTGGAAGGACAATGTGCTGCAGGTTGCTCAGAGGAGCTGTTTTATTGCTCAAAGCAATTGAAATAAGCTTCACAGCAGCACGATCTGTAAGGGATCTATAAGGGTCACCACAGCATCCCACAAGCAGCACAACGTGGTTTTCTGTGCAGAGGTATGGAGCTGGAACTGCTCCATGCGAGTTCAGTAAGTATCCTTGAACCCAGTGGCTAGAGCTTTGTCTAGTCTGATTTTCAACTAACCATTAATTTGCCTTTTTCCCCCACTTCCAATGATTTCTTCCATCTGATTACATTTGCTTAATGAATCTTTTGTATATTAACTATCCTTTATTAAATGCAAATTTGCAGAGGATTAAACCATACAATAGATCCATGTTATATTGAATATCACAGTAAAATCTCAATAAGCATGAGTGTTTTCTTTTGTTTTAGGAATCAGTGGATGTTTAATTAGTGTGGGGCAATAACCCTTGCCTCTAGAGGTATCCTCAAGAGGAGAGGCATAGGCATAGGACTGCACAGAGGCCAAAATGCCTGGCTGAAGGCATACATACCCATGCCATTTCCTGACACATTAGACAATTCTTCCTGGCAATAACTAATAGATAATAGAAACTGCTTGCTAAAGGTTAGAACACCCAGAGAAACAAGGGCACTTCCTATGAGCACTAAGCTGACTCCTGCACATAAAAAAATTCTTAAGAATCAGTGATGCCAGAATTTTCAAAGTTTCCACTCATTCTGCTTAAATTGGAGCCAGGTTTATTCAGGTCATCTGTCCATTCAGTCCTTGGTATCTGAAAGCCTGCTGGTGAAAACATTACACTCCAAAAGGGACTTCTGAGATCACTTCATGATGTCACACAGAATAGTGTTCTGCATAAGCTGAGTACCTCAGACACTCCTCTGCACATTCCTGTGTTTAATTCTGTCCCTGTCACTCCAAGAAAGTCTAGAGAACATGTTCACACATGTAGAGTTTCCAAGAAATGGAAGTGGGATTAAGGAACTCAAAAAAATTCCATGTAGCTGAATGGAATATTTTCTGGGAAATTCTTACTTTTCCTATCTGTATGTGGCCTATGATATTATAGTCATCTTTGCAACTGACACCTTCCAGATTAAAATAATACATCTAATATGTTGTGCCGCTATGTGCTCTTCAATGTAGCCAGGTATGTGTGCATGTCTTGGAGGGAGAAGAATAAGTCTTGCTTTCAAGGGCCAAAAAAAAATATCTTTTTCACCATAAAATGAAATCATTAGCTTTATTAGCTCTACTACTATTATTACAATAAATAATTATTATTAAAATAAATTAATAAGAGGCTTGATGGCTTGGGTAAGCAAGAGGGTTTTCTCGCATTCCCAGCCCTTCTTCCCCTCTCCCAGACATTCAGCACGCTGGCCTCACCTCTTCTTGTTACTGTCAGTGTGGGGCTGGGATTCTGCATCCTTCACAGCCGCACCAGAGCATGGGGACAGCATAAAGCTGACTGGACACCACAAACCCTTCCCATCTCTTTCCCTAATAACCCCACAATTAGCAATAGGCTATGGCATGCAGAGCAAGGATATGGATTCTATCAGCATCCTCTCAAGATCAACCTCCTGGCTCCCTCAATGGGACTGTTCCACCAGATCATTTATTAGCAGAGCTGGGCAGGGGGTGAGGGGATGCTGCCATGGTGCTGAGCCAGGCCAGCTTCCCATCATGCCACTCTCTGTCTCCTGCTGAATGTTTTGTTTTGTTTGCTTCATTGGATTCTAGGGTAAAAATTCTTGGAGTCTTTAGTTACTGCCAAATGGAACCACCGCGTGACTCCGGAAATACCTGTCGCCTAATTAAATTGTCTAAAGAGGGATTTTTGGAAAGCACTCCTAATTCAGGAGCTTAATTTAGGCTGGGCCCATGCACCAGAGCTTTCTGTCTTATTATTAGTTGGAATTTTAATCATTACACATCTCCCCCACCCCCGGCATTTTTTCCTCTCTCCCCATTTCCTAACAACCTGATTCTGGCACAATTCCCTTCCCCTTTAACCCTCCAGAGCTAAAAATAATATCCTTTTGGATCCAGCAAAAAATAAAGACAGAAAGAGAGAACACTGAACCAGAGGTGTTTAATTAGCAGGAGTGAACTAGAGATGGGTTCAGCAATCATTTTACAGCAGCCTCCCTAGAGACAGACCAAATGCATTGTGAGAAAAACCTGGCTGGTGTGTCCCAGGAGTAAGGTGGTATATTATCAGGGCAGCTTTAGCCTGTAACACATGTAAGATGCAGCCTTCATATTCCTGGATTAAGAAAAAAAAAAAAAAAACAACTCCTGTGATGAAAGAATGCTACATGCAAGCAACCTTAAGGAAATGTTTAAGTCTGTTGGTACCCACATTGATCATGTATGTTATTTGAAGCATCACCTCCAGATGCAAGACCTCTAGGAAGTGGTTGGCTCTGAGACGATCAGGCACTGAGAGTCTGGTTTTAAATCACATTGAGACCCTTAGGTGGGAAGTAATAAGCATGATTAAACTTCATGTAACAACTGTGTGTGCATGTCCAGGGCCAAAGGTAATAGCTACTGATCTGGCATCTTCACACTGTCACCTTGGAGAATGGCACAGATGTTCCAGTGACAAGCTGAGCACATCACAGGCTACATGAGTAGAAAGAGCTCAACTGTGTCCAGTGGAGTTGCACTGCATTTGTAGTGAGGGAACTGTCACCAGGGACTGATTTTTGACATTCTTCTCTGCAAATGAGAAGGAAACCTCAGACCTTTCATTTTCCTTGCAAAAAGGATAGCTGTATTCAGGTCATACTAGGCTTACAGCAAAACAAAGAAAAGTCCTTGTGCTCATCAAACTTCTGAGATAATTAAAACACACAATCAACTCTCCAAGGCAGAGACAGCTACAAATATATACACATATAGATATTGTTATGCTTCCTTCACCCCGCTCCCGCACAGAACACACACTTCTACCTGCAGAAGAGGCTAAAAGACCACCCATCAGCTGACCTGGACTGAGGTGATCTGAATGCAGGAGGGATGTGGGCCTTGTGGAGCTGGACTTGCCCACATGCACCCATGTCAGGTTGCACAGAACCAGTGGAAGCATGAACTGCACTGTTAAAGGTATTTTCAGTTGCAGCTCAAAACGGAAACACTTTTAACTTGGAAAACACATATATGTATACATTTCTACACTCACACAAAACTGCAAACTTCTGACATATTTTAACTTTGAATTGCCTTTTTTTAAATTCAGCTGTATTTACTGGGCTGGCTTGCCTGCCAAGCACATTAAGTATAAATCATTTGTTGTTTCATTAGTGCTGAAATGACTTTCTAATTGACTTTCTAATTGTAGTTAAAAGCAACTTTAGCACAGGCTCAAAGAATCTTTCCTAGAGGCCTCTCTGTGTTCCGTCTTCCATCTGTTGTCACTGGAGCTTAATGGAGATGCCTCCAGCAGAAGACTGGTATCAGATAGATCACTTTTTTGTAGGATATTGCTTTATTTTGTATTTAGTTTGGTTTTACTTTTTTTCTTCCAAGTTGTGCTAATGACTTGCTGTTTCTGCATTCTGGGATATTTGTCTGATAAGTATCTAGCCAAGAGCTAAAACATCACCATTGTGACTCAAGAAATACACCAGGGCAGCATACTATGGACAACAGAAGTGCCAAAACATTCCTAATGCCTTCAAAATCCTGGAAAACATGTTTAAAATGTTTTTTCCTTTTTAGTCATTCAAAGGCAGGGTTTTTTTGTTTGTTTGTTTTTAAATGAAGTTTTGAGTGTCTGTGCATTTCCCCTGGCCTGATTCTTATTGCGTGCACTGCAGTGCAAGCCTCCTGAGACTTCAGTGAGAGCAGGCATACAGAAGGAGAAGTTCAGAACGCCCTTAAGCTGCCCAAGGGCCACCTGCTCCCTGTCCTCCAGCTGGAACTGGCCAGAGCTGGAGGCTCTCTTCACTGAGCACACAGGAAAAGGAAGCAGGAGGGAATGCTGTTCCCCTCATACTAAAGATAGAAGACGGAATTCATCTCTGCTTTTGGCAGAGGAACGGGAGTGGCATTTCCCCACCTACTTCCCCTTATGTTGGCCCTACCAGCACGGAAGGCAACATTCTACAAAACCGCAGCGGAAGAATGCTTTCAGTGAGAACAAAGATGCTGTGAAAAATGCCAGAAGAAGCCAGTTTTGCCTGGGAAGCAATGCATGGGGTGACAGAGGCCATGCTCATGTCTTCTGGGACTGTTCCATCTGAGCTTCAGCAGGCAGCAATGGATCCTTTTAAAAACTCCATGGGTTCATGACTGCCTCAGAACAATCAGCATCCTAAGGATCTTTAATGCTCAGAAAAGACCCTGTTACTATTGTGAGATTGCAACTACAACAACAACATGTGGTTGATTTGGTTTGATTACAACATGCTTTCAGCTAGTACCAGCAAGGATTTACTATACATCCAGTCCAGTTACAAATCCTAAATTGTTAATTCAGATATCTAAAGTTGGCAGTATTGGAGTAGAAATGCACCTCAGAAGCATCAGATGCTTGACTTTGAGCTGTCTCCACCTTACAGTTCCATTGCTTATTGCTATCCTGTCAGTTACAGGTATGGTAGATCTCAATAATGCTTTGCTCAGGTGCAGAACTGCCAGCAGCTCACTCCTGCTGGAGAAGTGCTTCCAGAAACAGGAAGCCAAATCCTGCGTGACTTTGGTAGGACTTCTCCTGATATGCTCTAGTCTGATCAGAGGATCAAAACCTGGCACAAAGTATTTGCTCCTCTCCTCAACTCAGTGACCTGCACAGCTAGCCATCAAGCAGTATCCCCTGAAGCCTGCCACAGCTGCAAGTAACAAACAGCTTTGTGCCTAAGACAGTGGATGCTTTGCTTTTATTTGTCATGCCAGCACCATCACAGCCCTGTACTTCTGCAAAACCTTCCACTGAGCTGTGCCAAGTGAAGCTGACCACACAGACAGCCTCTGAGGCAGCACGCAGCCAGGCAAAGGAGAAAGCAGTAGCAGGAGGGATGCCCAGGCTGTCACACAGCATGTCACAGCCAGGCACAAGGGAGAGCTACAGCCTGGCCACCTCCATGAAGTCACCCAGCTGCTGAATCCAAAAACAGCACTAGCTGTTTTTGGCCTTGTGGTGACCGCTTGTCTTTGCCCTGGTAATTCCCATACTTTGGAATGCATGTGCCATAATAGCAAATAGCTTGTTTTTAGCCTAAGCATTGGTCTAAAAAAATAAAAATAACAAAATACCAGGGGGCACAAATAACATAAGAGAGAGAGAAAAAAAAAAAAAAGAAAAAAAAATTTAAGCCTTCCCCCCCCTACACACACACCCCAGAAAAGCTTTTCCAGTTTCCCATAATTTCTCTTGCCTTTTTCTTGTGTCTCCTGATGATTATTATCTGCTTTATGAGCCCACCTTGCACAGATTAAGTAGGTGTAATCAGAGTATTAACTCATCATATGCTGATAATTAGCATGAGGTTCTGCTAGCCTGTTCTTGTTTTAGTGCTCTGAGTTAACTGGTGACCTGTGTTACTGGGGTGGTTTGATGCTATGGGCCCTGTTGTGCATCACTCTTGTGAGAGTGAACATCAGCTGTACCCAAAAACAAGAGGGCTGGGTGAGAAGTTCACTTTCCACTCTAACAAGCAGAGCTGACAGCAGTTATTTCTGAGAGCTAGCAGATAGACATTCAAATGAATGAAAAGGTTATACACTGCTAGCCATGCCTTCTGCTGCTTACCGTGGTGACATAACAAACAGAAAACCAATGCAAAACAGTCTTTAACTGTGATAACAAATAAAATGATTCTTCCTTGTAACAATCTGAAAGATCAGTGCAGTGGAATGGCAATACAGGAGATGTAATGACAAAGGGACTAGCACAAATGGAAAGGTGTTGCAAAGGAAAAGTACTCACCTGTCTCTGAAGATCTATGCTCACAGGAAAAACTCCACAAGGGAAGGATCTATTCTAGAAGAGATCCTCCTAGGGTGGCAGTCAGCCCTTAAATGAGGTCTAAGAGAGGTAAAACCTCCTTCAGTCGTAGAGGTGAATTGCCTTCACATGTGTTTCCAAGGCAGACTGGATCCTTTCCCCAGGTGCTGTCAGTGGTTCAGGCAGTGACTCAATAGTTACCGTACACTCTTCAAAAAGAAAAAATAATAATAAAAAAAGTGCCTTTAAGATCCATCTTTCGTAAATCTCACATGTAAGCAGATTAGGGGGTGAAAGTAATCGTGCAGCTTATGTAAAGAGCCAGACTAGACCTGCTTAGAGAGCTTCTTAAGAAGCTTTGGCAAAGGTCAGCCCAGAGAGCATGATCTGCCCCTTGGCTTCCTAACGCAGGACTCTGTGCTATCATTGCTTTGGAGTGGCTGAGGCTGGCCTGGCATGTCCTCACTTTGGCACCTGTGCAATGCTTTTGAATATATTGGCAATTCGTACCATGCCTGCTGGAGTGACTTTATTAGATATTTCCTGGAAGATGAAATTTGTATGAAAGCTCAAGTTCCAAGAGTCGGGAGAGCTTCAATTTCCTCTGCCATCCGCATTAAGTTGGAGTATTGTAAGAAAATTTCAGGTGCATTCATTTACTGATGATTTTGGCAAATCTTGACTACTTAAATCTAGATTCTCATTCTCTGTGGATCTCTGCACACCTACAGGTTTGCTTCCATGACTTGAACAGAGTACATAACACAGCAAAATCAGGAAAAAAAGGGAAAAAAGATCTCTCTCGTGATAGTGAGGTCAGCAGAAGCAGAACTGTCTTCTGTGATCTCACTGACATCTGTGGGCATTCAGGTAATCTCAGGGAATGATCTATGTTCACTTCACTGTGGGACTGTGCTTAAACCAGGCACTGTTCTGAGTGCTTCTTGGCGCCTCTTATTCCACATCACCATGAAAAACAGAATATGCACTCAAGATCAATGTAATGTAGGAAGTCACAGCTTGATTTATGCAAATATATTTTATATTATGCAAACGCACAAGTGACCTTTCTTTGGTTAAAGTGAGTTGGCTTTTGAGCTCAACTGCAGAAAAATTGAAGGTGTCTGCATTATGCAACGGAGATTTCTTCAGAGAACAAACTTGTCTGGTTAACTACAGCAGGAGCAAAGTGACAAGACATTTTACTAATATTTCTTGAAGAGATCTGAATTGTCACAGGGAAAAGCTGGTTGGACTTTTTGAATAGAAATGTATTTCTGCAGAAGTAAGATGTTGCAGCCAAAGTAAGAAATGACTGCAGACAATGAGTTTTAAAACAAGAAAAGGCAGTGATGGAAAGGCAAATTAAAAAAAATGAAAATGTTTAGTGATTGTTTGCTTTGAATGTCAGGGAAAAATAATTCTCAGTAAATTGGAAATATTTATTGAAAGTGGTCTTCAAAAATACATTTACTTCCAGTGTTATTTGTAGGTTTTTTCTTTGATACATTTACAATCACCTCTGCTACAAATTTACTATGAAAAAAAAAATCAGGTGGTTTTTTTTTTGTGTTTTTTGTTTTTTTTTTTTTTTTTATTAGAAGTAAACACAGTTGAACTTCTCAGCTGCTGGAAGTTCACGTGAATGTTCTGAAACATTATTTTCAGAGAATCTGATGAATTCTGCTTTCTCAGCAACAGAAAGATTTTCTGAGCAAATTTACCCCTCTCCTATGCTGATATTAATAGATCCTGAATTTTACGACACATTTTCAAAGTATTACTTATGTATTGGCTTTACAGCTTCTGTTTTCTCTGTTAGCTACATGCAGGCACTTAAACATTTGAAAATGAACCCTTAGGAAGCACGCTGTCAGGAAACAAAAGCAAATAACACACAAACACACACAAAAACAAAAGAAAAAGAAAAACAAAACCAAAAAAAAGAGGAAGGGGAGTGTAGTCATAAGCTATTGAGGTTAATGAGTACATTCAAGGCAGGGAGAAAGAATCCTAAGAAGGACAAATATAAAACACAGATCAGAAGAAAAGTAGTGTGAAAAGGGGAGGCAAAACAGCATTTCACTTGTCACTGTGGAAATAAAGGGGTGACAGCATTCAAATCTAGGTGGAGTTAATCAGGGATTTTTTCATTTTTCTTATTTTTATTTTTAAATAATAGTTGATCAGTGCTTATCTCTAAATTAGAACTGGTCCAACAGTGCTGAATATTAAGTCAAAGCCTTGCTAGGATGAGATCAGTCTTCCTTTGAACCCAATGCGGTGGGGCAGAGTAAAGTCTGTCTACTGTCCAGGGCTGGTTACTCCAATACTCGCCAAGACCTGGCAATGATGACAAGATGTCCAGTGGATGGTTTTGCATTTAATGCACAATTTGGCAATCACCAGTATGAAGGACTGTAGCAACCTAAGCGACAGTCCAAATACAGAAGCAATCCTTGTGCTAAGAATCAGAGGCAACCAAACCTGGGCACAGCTGAGCTAGATGTGCATAGAGGAACTGGACTCACCTGGGGACTAATCTGAACATCTAGCATAATAAATTTAGCAACTGTGTGACACCTACTGGAAACTGGACCCACTGAGATATTTAGGCATTTAGTCTTATCTTGGGTGCCTAATAGGTTGTTTTGGAGCCTGAACACTTTTAGAATCTTGGTAACAAGTGACAAAGTACCCCTGCTAGACTCATAGATCACTTGGCTCTCAGAGCACTTCTCTGGGCTCGGGCTTCTTAATCTGCTAAAGCACTTTGGAGCATCCCAGGGGTGCTCCGGGTCTGCAGCCCCACGGAGCCCTGGGCAGGCTTGGCCTTCCCACTCTTTGTTCAAACTCCACGCAGCATGTTTTGCAAAGCTTCAAAGTGCCACTTAACGGAGCTTTCATTTTCCTTCCAGCTGAAGGGAAAGTGTTGTTAAACTCCCAGGCTGGCAAGTCGAAGTTTACACAGATGGAACAGTTAGCACAGACCGCAGAGCAAATACCAGCAACCAACCCGTTTCACACTTCTAAAGAAAGAGAGAAAGGAATGGCAGAGGAAGGCCAAAGCAAACAGGCCTTGGAAAACTCGAAGTCTCTGGCTGGAATTTTCAGCTGTTACTTTTCTTTTCACATTCAGGCTTTTCTGGAGGTCTCTCGATTCAGCAAAGCAGAGAGGGCTTTTGCATTCATACAAAATGATTTAAAGCTCTGCGAGGAGTGCTGTGCTGGGTCCCAACAACCACAAAACATACATTGCCTGAAATTTAAAAAACTTGGTTTTCACTGAGAGCCACATTTAAAAAATGTATATTTCATTTCCAGCAAATAATATGTCGTTGTATTTCCTGCATTTCACCCAGCAGGGTGTGTCATTTCAGATGCCTTTCCCTCATTAAACCTGAGGACCACTCCAGTGCCCTCAAAAAAGCCCAGGATTTCTTCCTCCCTCTGTGTTTGTTCACCCAGTGTTCTGCTCCACAGTCATTGAGGATGGATGTCAAGTGGCTGCATCACCTTGTCACGCTGCTGCTGGCCCTCCCAGCAAAGCACTGGAGCAGGAATTAATCCGGGGCTCTTGCACAGCGATGGAAACATAACTGCTAGGCCAAACCCAGAGGAATTTGTTTCATTAAGACATGGGGGGCATGCCTCTCCCTTCGCTAAGACAGCTTTTTTCTCGTCCTCTAGTAACAAAGAAATTGCTAAGGCAATGTGAAGGCAGAGATGCTAAATGAGTCTCCACTTGGCATCTGAGACCTGCTGGGTTAATAGCTAGGGACAGGTAAATCGGTTTAGATAAAATTATACTCTTCTTTTGCAAACCTTATTACAAAACCGAAATGCTCTGTGCTGTGTAAACTGCAACTTGTGCTAAAAACAGTGTACAAGTTCTGCGCGCAGCAAAACAGATGCTAGTTGGAATAATTCGTATTTCTCCATCAGAGCGTCTCTCTCTTTGGACTTTCATGCTTCTACTCTGTATACCAGAGGTTTGTGTCTTCCTCCTTGCTGTATTCGCAGCACTGTCCTGTCTTGCCACTCGATTAGATTATCCAGTACCTCCTGCGTTGCTGATAGCAAATTTTACTAAACAGTGTAGCAAAGCTGCAAAAACCCAGCCTAATTCAGCAGAGGGCTTTACGGTTTCCTTTCAGTTGAGGCTTAAAATGATGTTATTCAGCTGTAAACCTGAATGAAATTATGTTCTGTGTTGGAGGAGGCAGCTTGACAGAGGGAGTTAAATAGTAAAGCAGTTATTTTAAACACAACAGTCAAATCTTAATCTATCTCATGTGACCTAGCAGATCCTCCTGAGGTCCTTTTTCATTGAATTATCCTGTCTTCCTGAGGTGGGTACCTCTGCTGTAAAACTGGAGCATTCATATTCTGTCTGCCTCCACCCCAGTAAAATGTTACCTATGCAGAAATAGTACCATTAGCTGGTTGCAAGGCACTGGTACATCATCATAGACTTAGATGTAGCTCAGTGTGCTTGCTTACACTTCCTTATAATGCTCATTCATTGAATATTGCTGTTTATACAATTACTAAACTGCTTACAGTGATACCTGAGCTTGGAATATTTTTCACTTATTTCAGTGCCAAGCCTGTGAAAAAAAACGTCTATGAAAGGGGGCAGAAAAAAAGAGGAAGAAAAGATTACCATCTTCCCTTTTGCTCTGCAGTTCCTGCTTATGGAGCCAAGTCCCTCCCTTTCAAACAACCTTTGCTGACAGAAACCTGCAATGATACATTGCGGGATGCACTAGAGTGCCATGGAAGCCAGTGCAACGTGACGCATTTACTGTACTACAACGTACTGTATCTCAGTGCTAATGACGTCTGGGTATTGAAATAGCCTCCATGGGGAGCAACGTTGCAACACCTGCTTCTTCTGGATAACCCAGTCTTCATCTCCTTGCTGCAGTGGAGAAAAAAAGACCTTCTCAGAGAGAATGCTGAAATGGGATGTCACATTAGGGCATGCTTGTTAATGACAGGCAATTACAAGGTTGCCAAGATGCTCCCAGGATCCCTAGTATTAAAATATTTTACGTGGCATTTAATTATCCATGGTTCAACTTCCATGCAGTA